TGCACCGCACTGAAACCAGAAGTACTGGAACGGGTTACTTCCGGGTTTCGGTGCTTGCAGTACTAAAAGTACTAAATCACACAGAAGTACTAATTCGTGCTTTGTGCATGCGCAGAAGCATCAAATCGTAACCCATGCATGCGCAGATGCGGCACTGCAGGTTGCGAACGTGCCTCCTGCAACCTGAGAATCCACTGTATAAGTTTTTGTTGTTGCAGAAACACAAGAACATAACAAGAGCCTGCTGGACCAGGCCAATGGCCCATCTTGTCCAGCATCGTGTTCTCACAGTGGCCAACCAGATGACTATGGGAAACCCACAAGCATAATTTGAGCACTGTCCCCTTCTGTGGTTTCCAGCACAGTTGCTGTCTCCAACTATGGAGGTAGAGCATAGCCATCATAGCTATCGGTAGCCGTGGGAGTGACTTTCATAGTTTAACTATGTGCTGAGTGGAGAAGTACTTTCTTTTATATAATCATGGGAAGCCAGAATGACTTTGGTGGGGTTGGATGGGAGAGTTTTTGAGTGTTTTCTGCAAGACATCCTTGATGCAATCATAGTGCAATAGCGGTAGATTTATACTGGACTGTCCACACATCATTCCACTTTATTGGATATTCAGCAGTGTTTCCCCATTGTTATTGCATTATTGTTGCTTGGAGATATAGACTCTTGCACTGTGGTGCCACAGAATAAGAAACTGTAGCATTTGTGGTATAAAAAGTGGCAGGATTCCAACAGGACATTACAGGACGTTCACAGAATGGAAATGAAGCAGTATGTCTGTTCTGAAACTTTTGCACGCAGAAACAGCATTGAAAGTGGGATTGTCTATAACTGCCCCGATACCACCATGAGCACAGATAATCATCATCGCAAAGGAAACTAAGCATCTAGAACAGGGGTCAGCAACCTTTTTCAGCCGTGGGCCAGTCCACCGTCCCTCAGACCATGTGGTGAGCTGGACTATATTGTGGAAAAAAAATGAACGAATACCTATGCCCCACAAATAAACCAGAGATGCATTTTCAATAAAAGGACACATTCTACTCATGTGAAAACATGCTGATTCCTGGACCGTCTGCAGTATGGATTGAGAAGGCGATTGGGCCGCATCCGGCCCATGGGCCTTAGTTTGCCTACCCCTGCTCTAGAAGTTAGCAGTGGAATATATCTTCTTGGCTCATTTTTGCCACTGAAGCAACAACATAAACATAATGCTTGATGGTGGATGCTTGTTTTTGTGGGTTGGAGACAGGGGAGAACCGAGGCTGAAATGGCTTTTTTGCACGGATTCCTGTGAAACCCACAGGGCTTCCTAAATTTGGCATTTCATAATCAGAGCTTTTAAGAAGGCTGAAGTTCACATCTTCCAAGCCAGACTGGAACATCGAGACAAACTGGAGTATCGCTCATACTGAACGCTGGCTGGCACCAAACCCGAAAGCTTCAAATGCGAATTGAAATGTAGATTCTGAACTTCAGCTTCCTTTATCTGAACATCTGAACAACTGTGAATATGAATGAGAATTTCCCCCCACGGCATCACATTAATGTGTCTTTCAAGAAGCTCCAGATGTTTTCATACTGTCATTGCTTGGTTATGTAATACAGCCTCCTGGAGCAGAGAGAATGGGACATATCCCAAATATGTTATGGATTGTCAGATTTATTTATTTTTAAAAAGTGGAGGATGCACACACAGACAGAAGGATAGACAGAAAGAGAAGGAGAAAGAAGAATGTTTATGAGTGCTTGTTGCTGGAATTGCAACAGCAGAGATCGTTCCATGTGCAACTTAAGGGTTAATCTTGTTAGTGTTAAAGCCAACTAGCCAAGAGGGGATGGGTGGAGGTGTTGCTTAGCAACCATGCAGAGTGGCATGATGTTTGCTGAGGTAGTCTGTGCTCTGATTGGTTGTGTAGTTCTGAGGGAGTTTTCCTCTGTGAGTTTGATTGTATGTTTTCCTGATACGTACAAAACCTGAGCTAATAAAGATAAAAATCTCTCTGGTCCTTCCTCATCAAATTATACATTGTTTTTGTTAAGTTCCCTCAGTAAAGCATTAGCAGGATTAATTTCCTTGCTGGATTCCATCTGCACTATTTCAGTGACTTTGCTCACCCCTTTAAGTAGAGGCTTCTAAAGAAAACAGAATAATGGATTAGAGAGATGTTGTTGTGATTTAGCAAGTACTTGTGAGATACAGAAAGAGAAAGGTGGTCAAGTGAGAAGGAAGGACAGAGGAAAATAAAACCAGCAATGTTAACAGAAAATAGAAGGGGTAGTATTTTCCTCAAGGCTATATTAGTATTAAGGGAAACTGAAAATATTTAAGTAAATCAGAATCTTTTACCAAAAACCCAACATTATTTGGGAAAAACCAATTGCACAGATTTGACCAGTATCAACTTTATACCCATAATTTCACCTTCCTGCACATACCGTATGTAGGGGACATAATGCTTATAGATCGTAACTTGTATTACAAGGGGGAAAATACAGTTATGCATTGTTTCTGTTTCAATTTCTTATAGACTTTGGTTTCAATTTCTTGGAATCTCTCTCTCTCTACTTCTAATTTTGAATAATAATTTTGAATAATTTTTTGTACAAGATCTTTGGGTCTTGGAAAGGAAGAGGCAGGTTTTCTGTTTCATGCTGTCATTTTCCTTCAGACTGTAAAAGAAATGTAGGCATTCAGAGAGTTAGCATGGCAGAGATCTTGACTGCATGAATAACTTCCACTCCCTGACTTGTAAAAAGCCCCACCAAAAGTGTTTCTAGTGCAGAAGCATTCAGCAAAAATGCCAATGACTTGTTTTCCAGCTTTTTCTCTGCAAATATGAGGACAAGAGATCTGTTTTAAACACTGTGGGAGGACAGAGTCTTAGGATTGTGCAAGTCGACAGCTACTAGGATATAAATATGAAGTCAGGTATGTTATGACGAGCTGCCTCTGAACACCCCATTCTTTTGTCAAAATAAGCCTTGGCTATGGGGAGTCTTTGCAGGGTCAGATCCATAACAACAAGTGGGTCTGGCTTAGGTCCAGGAAACACCAAGGCAGCTGGCAAGCAGGTAGGCAGAATGAACTCTGGGACATAGCAAGGGCAATAGTCTAATGTAGAAGTGCAGAATCTGCAGTCCTCCAGATGTTGTCAGGCACCAGATCCCATCAGATCCAGCCAGCATTACAGCTGATCAGGAATGCTGGGAACTGTAGTCCAGTAATATTTGAAATGTGGCTGGTTGTGCGGATGCCTGATGATCGTCTTCCAAAGCAACTACTCTATTCCGGACTTCAAAATGGAAAGCGTAATGCTGGTGGTCAACAAAAGAGGTTCAAAGACTGTCTCAAGGTAAATCTTTAAAAATGCAGTATAAACACTGACAACTGGGAAACACTGGCCTGTGAGCGCTCCAGTTGGAGAACAGCCTTTACCAAAGGTGTTGTGGGCTTTGAAGACACTCAAACTCAGGAAACAAGGGAGAAACATGCTAAGAGGAAGGCACGCTTGGCAAATCCACACCATGATCATCTCCCACCCAGAAACCAGTGTCCCCACTGTGGAAGGACGTGTGGATCCAGAATTGGCCTCCACAGTCACTTACGGACTCATTGTTAAAACTGTGTTTATGGAAGACAATCTTACTCAGCTACGAGTGATCGCCAAAGAAGAAGAAGAAGTTAGGGGAAAGGTTTCTTTGTGACATCCAATAATATGCTTCATTATGAAACTCTTCCCCATCCAGCCAGGAACCTCTTCCTGCTTCCTTTCCATGGGATGCTTGGGATCTGGCCATCCTCCTAGGGACAAGTACCTGAATGATTTTGGTCTTGTATCTGTGGTTTGATTTGCTTCTCTGCTTGTTCCAAGGTGAAGCAAAGCTGGGTTGACTGAGAGGTGTTATGACAGCCATCTTCCCATATCCCAAGGGCTGTCACATGGAAGATGATGCAAGCTTGCTTTCTGCTGCTCCGGAGGGTAGGACCCGAACCAACAGATCCAAATTACAGTTGTATCTTGGTTGTTGAACGCCTTGGTATTCGTCTGTTTCGGCTCCTGAACGCCGCAAACCTGGAAGTGAGTGTTCTGGTTTGCGAACGTTCTTTGGAAGCTAAACATCCAACGTGGCTTATATGGCTTCTGATTGGCTACAGGGAGCTCCTGCAGCCAATCAGAAGCAGTGCCTTGGTTTTTGATTGTTTTCGGAAGTTGAACGGACTTCCGGAACAGATTCCATTAGACAACCAAGGTACGACTGTACAAGGAAGGCGATTCCAACTAAACATTAGGAAGAACTTCTTGGCAGTAAGAGCTGTTTGACAGTGGAACAGAAGATGGTGGACTCTCCTTCTTTGGAGGTTTTCAAACAGAGGCTTAAAAGAATCTGTGAGGGATACTTTAGCTTTGATTTGTGCCTTGCAGGGTGTCAGACTAGACAATCCTTAAGAGCCCTTTCCAACTCTAGAATTCTATGGTTCTATGACAAGGGAAGCCTCCACATTCAGCTTTGTGTCTTTGCTGCTAGTTAAAGAAAACCCCAATGCTCATTAAGTCAGAATAAAATTAAAATGAAATCAAAATAAAATATCTCTAATGACAGCAGAAGGTTGCTTTGTTGCAATGGGCTGTAATTATTTGTTCTCCACTCATATTTTAGGGCTGTTTTATTTGATGATGCTCTCCGGTGAAGTGTTCAGTATGGGGCAAAGCCTGATGATTCACGGGACATTGCTGCGGATGATATTTTTGGAAGCAAGGTGCTGACGCCATGAAATGCCTCCCTCATGCAACTCAGATTTCCAGAAGCAAGTTTGCCCCAGGGACAATTTTTTCTTGGCAGAGGCAGCCAGGTGAGCCAGCCCCGTGGAAGAAGAAGAGCAGGAAGACAAAGCAACACCCTCACGGCTACACCCACGCTGTGGAAGGTATAAATAGAGACCTGTGTGGATGCCAGAATCTGCAGTCAAGCTTTTGTGTCTTTGGGGCTTCTGCTTAGTCTTTGGGCTTCTTTCTGAAGGTCTTTCGCGATGAGCTGTAGCACCAAACAGGCATCCACCATGTACACGAGAGGCAGAAGCAGCAGTGGGAGCTGCGGTGGAATCCGGGTTTCTTCGGGAGTCTCCGGGAGGTGTGCTGCCCCTGCCGTAGGTAGCGTTAGATGTGATATGTCTGGGAGGAGCTACTGCAGCGGAGTGAGTTTCGGAGGGGGCCTGAGTGGAGGCAGCTGCATCGATGGTGGCTTTGGTGGCGGGTACATGTGTGCTCCTGGTGGCGGCGCCGCCCGCTTTGGTGGCTTTGGCATTTGCCATGATGCGCCCTTGATCTCCTGTGATGAGAAGATGACCATGCAGAACCTCAACGACCGCTTGGCCTCTTACTTGGACAAAGTGCGGTGCCTGGAGGAGGAGAACGCTCAGCTCGACTGCAAAATCAGGGAGTGGTATGACCGCCAAGGTGCCCTCTGTGACCCCAAGGACTACAGCTGTTACTACCAACAAATTGAAGACCTTAAAAACCAGGTAGGAATATGTTTCCTCTGCAGCTTAGAACCAGATGTAGCATCAAGCTAAGTGAGATAGAGAGATGGCTCCTTGCTCTGACAGCAGAGCACTCATTCATTATTATTTACAAAAACAGATCTTTCCAATCTGGCTTACGAAGAAAGTCCAAAATTTTTTATTCTCCAAGGACTCTTGTCAAATCCCTTTATGTTCAGAACTTCATATTGTTGAATGAATGATGGTGTTTCTGGTTGGGCTTTAAAAACCATGCTTTAGATAGCACCCCAGAATGATTAGAGGCTGTATCATTAGATTAATGTATTTTTTTGAAAATGCTATTGTCTAAAACAATTACAGTGGTACCTTGGGTTAAGAACTTAATTCGTTCTGGAGGTCCGTTTTTAACCTGAAACTGTTCTTAACCTGAGGTACCACTTTAGCTAATGGGGCCTCATGCTGCTGCTGCGCTGCCACCACACAATTTCTGTTTTCAACCTGAAGCAAAGTTCTAAGCCCAAGGTACTATTTCTGGGTTAGTAGAGTCTGTAACCTGAAGCATCTGTAACCCGAGGAGAAGAAAAGAAACAGTGGCAGCTTATTCGCTGTAAGAATGGCTATATCTACAAATGTATAGATCACAAACACATCAATAAAACAAATCAAGAGTGGTATCGTGGCCTTCAATGGTGCTTCTGCTGCTGTAGTGGTAAAACTGATAGGGGGAAAAAAAGGATGTGAGGATGGAATGAGACTTAGGGATGTTCTGGCACAGAGATGTGGGGTAATAGGTTATTCAGAATTAGCCAGACATTGGCCCCGTCTGTGTGGTACATTCAAAGCAGCATCATAGCACTTCACACAGTCATGACTCCCCCCAAAGAATCCTGGGAACTGTAATTTGTTAAGGGAGCTCAGAGCTGTTAGGAGACCTCTATTCCACAGAGTTATAGTTTTGAGTGGTTTAAAAGTCCATTCTCCTTCCCAGAGAATTGTAGCTTGTGAGGGAAATAGGGGCCTCCTTACAAATCTCTGCATCCTTAACAAGCTACATTTCCCAAGATTGTTTGGGGGAAGTGTGATAATGCTTTAAATGCAATAGTGCAGATGGGGTTGTTCATGGATGCAGAGAGTTACAGGATGGAAGAAGCCCAAAGGTCGATTGGTCCAATACAATCCGTCTGGTTTCGGGATGACCCTGTAAATGAATCATAGACTTTGAGACAGTAGAATGAAAAATCAAAAACTGCAGTTTGATGCATGATGGCATCAAGAAGAAACAGATGGACAAGCTCAAACTGTTTGATTCCCCAACCCACAGATTATCTGTGCCACTGTGGACAACAGCAAGCTTGTTCTGGATATTGATAATAACCGGATGACTGCAGATGACTTCAGACTGAAGTGAGTCCCTCTTGAGTTGTACGAGGGGCTCTGGGTGGGTGGGGTGAACACTTTATTTTGTTTCCCTTAAATCCTAAATATGTGGTCCCCAAAGGGCCCATAATGAGTCAGCACCCAAGTCCACTGATGAGCTGTATACAGAAGGGTGAGATCTTCCTTTGTATATAAAGAAAGCCCCGGCAGAAATATATAACACACACACTTTCTCTCTCTATTGGCCCCTGTAGGGACCAACAATCCATCCTTTCCTCTCTGTTTTGGTTCTGTAGGTATGAGACTGAGCTGGCCCTCTGCCAAAATGTGGAAGCTGACATCAATGGCTTACGTCAAGTCCTGGATCAACTGACCCTTTGCAGGTCTGACTTGGAGGCTCAGCTGGAAGCCCTCAGAGAAGAGCTGTGTTGCCTCAAGAAAAACCACGAAGAGGTGAACTTTGACCCCACCAGCCCCTTACAAATAGAAGAAGGGCCTACAAAGGAAGGGGGTCCCCCTCCCACAGTCAGCTCCTGGCACTGGGAAGCACATTTAACAACACACAACAACAACAACAAAAGCCACATTTCAATTAACTGGAATTTCCTTTTCAGGAAATCAAGGGTCTGAGGAACCAAGCAACTGGGGACGTGAGTGTGGAAGTCAACTCCTGCCCAGGCCCAGACCTGAAGAAGGTCTTGGAAGAAATGAGATGCCAGTATGAAACTATGATTGAGAACAACCGCAGAGAAGTTGAACAGTGGTATGAATGTAAGGTAGGTTATATACTGTACGCAGCCAGGTATTGAAAGAAAAGCTGCTTGAAATCATCCATGCATATTTGGTAGGGGGTAGTAGGAGGCAGCTCTGAGCCAGATCTCACCCTTTAGGGGGAGCTGGTTTTGACCCTCTCTCCCCTCTATGTTATGTGAAGTTACTCCAAAACTAAGGGGCTGTTACTCCAAAACTAAAATACAATAGTCTATTAAACATTAAAAGCAGGGCTAAACAGGGCTGCCTTCAGATGTCTTCTAAAAGTCTGGTAGTTGTTTTTCTCTTTGACATCTGGTGGGAGGGCGTTCCACAGGGCGGGTGCCACTACCTAGAAGGCCCTCTGCCTGGTTCCCTGTAGCTTGGCTTCTCACAGCGAGGGAACCGCCAGAAGGCCCTCGACATTAGACCTCAGTGTTCGGGCAGTCTTTGGCCTGATTCAGCAGGGCTTACTTAAGTTCTTATTTATTTGTAAGGTTGTTGTTGCTGTTGTTTTGCAGGGTGAGCTCAGAGTTCTCTGTGAAACTGCCATGGGTCTGGCAAGGCTTTGCTTCAAGCCAACAGCTCTTCTGCTGAGCTATGGTCCCTCATCTGGGTTTTGGTACCCAAGTAGGAAGCACTAGTGAAGGCCCACCTACAACACAGTATCTACCGTGTTTAGGAAGGATGAATTCAAGGTCGAAGTGGTGAAGTGAAGAACAAATATAGCGATCTTGCCTTTGGGGCAAGATTAAAAGATCTTGGCTTCATCAGGTTAGGAAAGAAGAATGCTGAGAAAGGGCTGTACAAATAGAGGTAGCTCAGTTTAAAGAGGAGTATTTGGTTTAGGGAATATCATGAACCAATGGCCACAAGTGGTCCTTCAAGGAAGGGCGATTGAAAAGCAGAAGAAAGCACTTAACCCTTAGAGTTAAGCCTCCCAGAGTGGCGGGAACAACTCAGCCAGATGGGTGGGGTACTACTACTACTACTACTACTAATAATAATAATAATAATAATTTGCAGACAGACTTTGGAATCATCCTCATGAGTTTTTTATCTTCATGGCGTATCTTTAACCTATACCCAAATTTTCTACATCCAACCAATTGGTCCTTGATTTATCTTTTTAGTGGATCTTTTGACACCCCCACCATCCTTACCTTCATCGTTTGCGGTTGTCATTATTTTATCCTTTTGCTTGGCTGAAACTCATCATGAAAACAACTTAACAATTTCCCCAATAAGCCCTAAACCCCACCACCTCAATTTTGTGTTTGCTGCCTTTTCAGATGGAGGAAGTGAATCAGGAAGTCTGTAACAGCAGCAAGGAGGTTGAAGACTGCAACAACCAAGTTGTTGACCTGAAGCGCCAGCTGCAGACCTTGGAAATTGATCTGCAGGCTCAGCTTAGCCTGGTAAGTGTTTATGTCTGAATTAGTCCCGCTAACAATGCCACCTGTGCAATAGGTATATATTACTGTCCTAAAGTAATAGTATCAGTAGCTGCACAACAGCTATGGGAATCGGGAAGGTTGTAGCTTTGAGGCAGATATGCGCATGCACACACATACACCAGCTTAGTGGGCACAGGGGGCTCCATATACTTTCAGGGGTCTGGACAATTCCACATTCAGGTCCCTCTTGCATGGGACAACTGTAACCAGCAGGTGACTTCTGACATCATTAAGAGGGAAAGTGGGGACCTGGAGGAAGAAAAGAGGCTGGGCCAAAAAGAATCCACAGTGAGGCAGGAGTTGTGGCGAAAGCAGGAAGGAAAAGGAAAAGGAAAAGGAGACATATTCTGTGGAATTGCTTGTAATTATTGCTAAAGTACCACAAACTATTTTAGAGAGCGTTTCCTCACACACAAAAATGTGCAGGCATTATGAGCAAGTGGCAAAGTTTAATCTCTGGTAAATGATATTCTCCATCCACTCAGCAAGTTATCTTATTTCCACAATAGTTCGTAGGATATTTTGGGCTCTCTCTCTCTCGCCTCCCCCAAACTTATTTGTGCTAAAAGTTTTGCCTTTGCGTTTTTTAATTCTTCAGAGGGACACACTGCAAGGATCCTTGGCCGAGACCGAGTGTCGATATAACAGCCACTTGTGCGAAATACAGAACCAGATCTCTTGCGTGGAGCAGCAGCTGGCAGAGTTGAGGGCAGAGATGGAATGCCAGAACCGAGAATACAGGGACCTCCTGGACGTCAAATGCCGCCTGGAACAGGAGATCCAGACCTACCGCTGCCTGCTAGAGGGAGGCCAGAATGACATTGTGTAGGTAGACCGTCAAGTTCTCGGGTTTTCCCTGTGCTTCACCTATCGTTCATGAGTGACTAGGGAGAAACTCCATGGAACAGATTTGCTTAGAACTGAAATACTGGCAAATTTTTAATTCCTAAAAAAAAGCCCTTCTGGATGAAACCAAAGCCTGTTCAGACCAGCATCCTGTTCTCACAGTGGCCAACCAGATGTTTATTGGGAAGCTCACAAGCAGGACCTGAGTGCAAAAGCACACTCCTCACTATAGATTTCCAGAAATTGTGGCCAGAGCAGTGTGTGGCTTAACCACTTGCAGTGGGGCTGATGCATTGATGACCCTACTTTGCATGAGAGGCCTCTTGATCCCTAGTCTTCATATATATATTTATTATATTTATATCCTGCCTTCCCACAGGAAGCACAAGCTGGTGTCCATAGGTCTCCCCTTTCCCATTCTATCCTCACAACAACCCTGTGAGGTAGCTTAGGCTAAGAGAAGGTGACTGGCCCAAGGTCATCTTGCGAACCTCAGCGGGGATTTGAACTCGGGTCTCCCAAGCCCTGATCTGGAGTGTGCGTCCAATCCAAACCAGGGTCCAGCACCAGTATCCTGCCAGTCCTGTCCTCCATTGCTGTTTCCCTCCTTCCCCACTGCCAAATATGCTGTTTATATTGGCATAGACGACAGAAAAAAAGTGTCTGCTTAGAAGAAGTAGTCCAGCCTCGTATGACTATGTCCTCTAAGTCATTACTTACATAAAAACCATTTTGGCTTAGGGAAGCACAAAACATACCATACCAATATGATTCAGTTCACGTTTAAAGGCAAATCTATCAAATCTGTACTTTCCGAAGCGTACAAGAACCGAAGCGCAGCCACCCCTCAAAATTCGCGCTTCTCTGAATTTTATGACGTACTTCTCCAACCAACCAATGTTTACAAAAATGCATAGATTAGGTAAGAATGAATATATTCCTGAAAAACACACACAAGAGGCATTATATTAGAAGAAACTGCTGGTAAAAAAAAGTGTACAATAGTTAAAACTGCAGACAAAAATGAGTTTATTGGGAGAAATGTACACTAAACAGCTGAAGAACTTTCACGACGGTTTAAAAAAAATGCGGAGAACGGGATGTGAAATTGGAAAAATGAGAAAACTGTGAGAATTGAAATGGACAGATCTTTCCATCCTGACTTGGAACCCATCAAAATCTGTTCAAATAACACTTTATATGATTTTATACTGGAGGTGAAGCATGCGTGGATTTGATATACAGTCATACCTCGGCTCCCAAACACCTTGGGAGTTGGACCTTCTGGCTCCTGAACGATTGAAAACCGGAAGTGACTGTTCTGGTTTTCGAACATTTTTTTGGAAGCCAAACGTCTGATGAGGTTTCCGTGGCTTCCAATTGGCTGCAGGAGCTTCCTGCAGCCAATTGGAAACCATGCTTTGGTTTTCAAACGTTTCGGAAGTTGAACGGACTTCAGGAATGGGTTCTGTTCGACCTCCAAGGTACGAGTGTAGTTGTTTCCTTGAAACATCCTCTCACCCCCTCACTCCAGCCCTGGTGCATGACATAAAAGCGCAAGTATCGTTAGCTTCCAATGCTGTTCACCTACTTTTGATCTCATCCAACGACCCTCTTCCCCTCTCTGCACCAGGGGCTCGAGCAGTGGTGGTTCAGGAGGCGGAGCCTGCAGGCAGTCAGGAGGAGGTGTGGCTAGAACTTCCCACACGTACACGACCTCCTCTTCCCAGTGCCAGCCTTGCCAGCCTGATGTCAAAGGTAAGTGGGGAACAATGGGGTCTCCTACATTCACCAAGTATTGAAACTTTACAGGTATTCAAGAATGAACGAACTTTCTTTCATATGTGGTGGTCCTGTAAAAGGGTAAAGGAGTATTGGGAAATAATTTATAATGAATCGAAAAAAATGTTTAAAAGCACTTTTCCACAAAAAAACTCAGAGTCCTTTTGTTGGAGATAATTCAGATGAAAATTCCCAGGTGTCAAAAAAGGTTATTTATGTATGCCACTACTGCGGCCCGTGTTTTGTTAGCCCCAAAATGGAAAATGAGTGAGGTCCCAACCAAAGAAGAATGGCAACTTAAACTGATGGAATATGCTCAGTTTGCAGACTTAACATATAGAATAAGAGAACAAGAAGAACACATGTTTAGAGAAGATTGGAAAATGTTTCTTCAATATATGGGGGTGGGGATTGTGTACACCTGAAAACATTGGCAGCATTAAGACAAATTCAACAGTGCAAATAAATTTTGATGGACGTAATAATGGAATACTGAATGGTTTAGTTTATATAAAATATGCAGGGATTTATGCTATGCAAAACGAACCATGGAAAGAGAAGAAGGGAAGTCACTGATATTTTAAGGTTGTTGAAATGAGTATTTTAAACTGTAAAACAGAAAATTTAATAAAAATTATATATATAAACTTTACAGGTATTAATCTGTAGCTTCCAGTCTAATTGAAAAACCATATGAAAACCATATGAATCCCCAGCAAATGTCCTCTGGAGCCTTGGGAGAACTCCTTCCTTTCTGCCAGGCTATCTTCACCATCTCCAGTGTTGAGGAGAAAAAGGCTGCATGCATTAGCTTGAAATATTCTTTCTTTGGTCATAGCTGAAGTTTTTCTCTTTTCCCCCCCACTCTCCAGGGTACAGCAGATAAGAGCTGGAAAGAGAAGAGCATCTTCTGTAGATGCAGCTATTGCAATTCTATCCTGTAAACTTTCTGGGCTCATACTGACAAGCAAGAGGAATCTTTCCCCCCCAGCTACTGAACACTATAAATACCAACCATCCACCAGTGGGCTGACCTCCAAGCTCATTATATTACTCACTTCTATAAGCTCCAGGATATTATTAACCATGGCTAAATGTTAACCAGCATTGTGGGGTTGGTCTTGGGCATTGTGGGACTTCAATAAAACTATGCTTCTGCCTGATGCAAACAAAAACTTTGTGTCTCCGTGTCATCATTAACATATGGCTGATCATTTGGAGTTATCTCTGTTGTCCCTTTAGATGCAGACCCCGTAATGACAGGCAACCAAAACCCCCCGCTGAAATGGGTAAATATTAAGCATTACCTGAGCTCCTGAGCTCTGGAAGAACTGCCACTAGTTATCTGTTTTATTCTTGCTGAAACAACAGCAGAGGTGGCATTAAAGCAGGGCTGGAGAAATTCGGTTCAACATTTGATTCCAGAATGCATTAACTAGTGTAAAGCGTGCATATAAATGCATATATTGATGAAAGTGGCAGACCATGTGCATTATATCTGGGGCAATTGTTTCTCAAAAATGTATACGTTAGTCAAATCTGTATGTGTATGTTAGTCAAATTTTCTTCAAGATTTATTATAATTGCTATTTTTGCAAATTGCTGTGGCAATGTGGTGAACTGAATTTAAGATTAAGAAAACGAGAAGCATAGAGAATCTGGATTTGACAGATTCATGCATCCCAAATAGTTACTGGCCCAGTAGCACACAGGAACTTTGAGTAGGTGCCAGGACCTACTGACTGTGATGGCACTGACATCTTGCCTGTACTGGATGGTTGTGCTGATAAGCCGCTATTTTAAAATTTCCCACAATGCTCCAGAGTGATGCTACATTTGGGGGCATTTAAAATGGCGACCCACCGTCACCCACTTCTGTTGCCAGGTAAGGCGGTCTACTGACAAAGGAACAAATTCACCAGGGGACAATTTGACAAGGAGCCCCTCAAGCCTGGAGCCAAATCTGTTTGGAAGCATAAGCCCCTGATATCAGACAACACCCCAAGCCACTTAAATGGTATAGATTTCTTTTTTTTAAAAAAATATATATTATATGATATGGTTTACAACATGGGTAGGCAAACTAAGGCCCGGGGGCTGGATCCGGCCCAATCGCCTTCTAAATCCGGTCCGCGGATGGTCCGGGAATCAGTGTGTTTTTACATGAGTAGAATGTGTCCTTTTATTTAAAATGCATCTCTGGGTTATTTGTGGGGCACAGGAATTTGTCTATCCCCCCCCTCCAAAATATAGTCCAGCCCCCCACAAGGTCTGAGGGACAGTGGACCGGCCCCCTGCTGAAAAAGATTGCTGACCCCTAGTTTAGAAGGTGCAATGCACACACACAACTCCTCTTTTAGCAGATTATTTAGTTTAATAGAGAAAGCAGAACTGCAAACACAGAATTAAATCATTAGGATTTTTGTGGTTAAACCAATGATATGGAAACTGGCTTAGCAAGAAATGCTGGCGAATGTTGATAAGGCTTGCCAAAGCAGCATGCTTAACATAATGTTAGTTTGAGAGGACAGGTTTCCAAAGTTGAGAAATATCAGCCAGAATTGGCTGGCTTTTGATCTTGAGCTTCAAAATGCAGCATTTGGTATGGAGTGACAGGTTCTCTCCGTGGTCAGAGAGACCACTCGAAATAAGGCAAAGGCACGAGAAAAAGTGGAACAAGTTTGAGGAACAAAGGCAGGATGGAAGCAGAACAAAAGTAAGTCCAATCCTCTCTGTCTCCAAAAACTTCAAAACCCTTTGAAGGACCACATGGCATCATTTCTAGCCAATACCCTTCTTTCTTGTGGTGGCCTTTATGAACGAGAACAAAGAAAGATGGAGAGGCGATGAACTTGGTGTTACAAAGGAGCTAAAGGAAGAAAAGAATTTAATAAAGTTAATAAAAGCATAAAAAAAGAATTTTACGCACATGTCCGAGCCATGTGCTTGATCTTTTTTTTTTATGTCACAAAAATATTAATGATAAATTGTGAGACATGGAATTCTAATATATTTATATGGCTTCAAAAATACTTTTGTGGGCTGGCCCAGCATTCTGTAGGAGGAGAGGAACTTTGCTGACCTGACTGAATACAGGCAGCGACCAATTTGAGCACACTGAAGTGACATGTGACTGCCGGCGTGCAGGTCGTGTGGGACCTGGAAGAGGGCAGAAGAGGATGGGGACAGGGGTGGAATGGTGGCAGAATGGGGCGGAATGGGGTGGGGTGGGCTTATTTGCGCTGCCCCGACACACGAGGGGGCAGGAATGGAGTCCCAGCACAAAATGGTTGCTGCCCGTGACATGAATCCAGAAAGGAAGTATAGCTGTAGCATTCAGAGCTCTAGTTCAGAGATAGGGAACCTGCAGCCCTTCAGATTTTGTTGAATTCCAGCTCCTATCACCACTGACCCTTAGTCATGCTGGCTGCGGCTGATGGGAGTTGGAGCCCAACAACAACAACAGCAGCAGCAGCAGCAATTTATTTATACCCCACCCATCTGGCTGGGTTTCCCCAGCCACTCTGGGCGGCTCCCAACAGAATATTAAAAGCACAATAAAAGATCAGCCATTAAAAACTTCCCTAAGCAGAATTCTAAAATTCTGATACAGTGGATGCTAGGGTTGCGAATGTGATCCGCACATGAGGGTTGCAATTTGGCGCTTCTGCACATGCGCGACCACCGAAACCCAGAAGTAACCCATTCTGGTACTTCCAGGTTTTGACAGGTCCGTAAACCGAAAAAACACAACCTGAAGCGTCTGTAACCCAAGGTATGGCTGTAGTTTTATTTCCTTGACATCTGATGGGAAGGCGTTCCACAGGGAGGGCGCCACTACTGAAAAGGACTTCTGCCTGGTTCCCCATAGCTTCACTTCTAGCAGTGAGGGAACCACCAGAAGGCCTTCAGAGCTGGACCTCAGCGTCCAGGCAGAATGATGGGGGTGGAGACACTCCTTCAGGTATACTGGGCCGAGGCCGTTTAGGGCTTTAAAGGTCAGTGCCAACACTTTGAATTGTGCTCGGAAATGTACTGGGAGCCAATGTAGGTCTTTCAAGTCCGGTGTTATGTGGCCTCGGCGGCCACTCCCAGTCACTAGTCCAGCTGCCGCATTCTGGATTTAGAGGGCCGGGTTCCCCATCCCTGCTGTACCTAAAGAGAACACTTTCTACATCCCCCCAAAAATCAGCAAATGCCATGACAATAAATTCCCTGAGTCTCAGTCTGAACCATAAGAAGTCAGCCCAGTGACTCATTTTCCATATTCCATATCAAATTGGGGGGTATTTTACAAGCAAATTTCACCCTTTAATTTCTGTGAACATTACAGTGGTATCTCAGGTTAAGTACTTAATTCGTTCCGGAGGTCCGTACTTAACCTGAAACTGTTCTTAACCTGAAGCACCACTTTAGCTAATGGGGCCTCCTGCTGCCGCTGCGCCGCCGGAGCACGATTTCTGTTCTTATCCTGAAGCAAAGTTCTTAACCTGAAGCACTATTTCTGGGTTAGCGGAGTCTGTAACCTGAAGCGTATGTAACCTGAAGTGTATGTAACCCGAGGTACCACCGTAATTGGAATATTGTACATAGAATATTTCAGTTCTAATTGTTCCGCTGTTGTTCTTTAAAGCCTCACTGCGTCCTTGCTTATAAAGATGTATGGGCAAGCCTCGTGTCCAGACGAGGTGCGGGCCCCCTGGGTGATATCATCAATTTGTCCCTTGGCACCGGGATATTCCCAGGGGAACTGAAGGAGGCAGTGGTGCGTCCGCTCTTAAAGAAAACATCATTAGATCCTTTAGATCTATCCAATTACCGCCCGGTTTCGAATCTTCCATTCCTGGGTAAGGTGATTGAGAGAGCGGTTGCTGAACAGCTTGGTAGGTTTCTGGATGAAACATCGGCTCTCGATCCATTCCAGTCCGGCTTCCGCGCTGGTCATGGGACCGAGACGGCTCTGGTCGCCCTAACAGATGATCTCCGCAGGCAGCTGGATCGAGGCGGGTCGGGGCTGCTGATTCTTCTAGACCTGTCAGCAGCCTTCGACATGGTCGATCACGAACTCCTGGACCACCGCCTTGCCGACGTGGGGATCCAGGGCACAGTCCTTCAATGGCTGCGCTCGTTTCTCTCTGGTCGGGGACAGAGGGTGGCGCTTGGGGGGGAATTGTCATCGCGCCACTCCTTGGTGTGTGGAGTGCCTCAGGGTGCGATTCTCTCCCCGATGCTTTTTAACATCTTTATGCGCCCCCTCGCCCAGCTTGTCCGGAGTTTTGGGCTGGGTTGCCATCAGTATGCCGATGACACCCAACTCTATCTCTTGATGGACGGCCATCCTGACTCGGCCCCAGATACACTGACCAGATGTCTGGAAGCTGTGGCTGGATGGTTACGTGGGAGCCGGTTGAAATTAAACCCTTCGAAGACAGAGGTCCTCTGGCTGGGACAGAGCGATATGGGATTGAGGGGGCAACTCCCATCTCTTGCGGGGGTGCAATTAGTGCCAGCATCGTCCGTTAAGAGTTTGGGTGTAATCTTCGATACCTCCCTCTCTATGGAGGCGCAGATTACAGCTATAACAAAGGCGGCATTTTTTCATCTCCGCCAAGCTAAGCAGTTGGCTCCTTATCTCTCTCGCCCTGACCTAGCCACTGTGATCCATGCGACGGTCACCTCCAGACTGGATTATTGTAACTCGCTCTATGTGGGGCTGCCCTTGAGACTGACCCAGAAACTCCAGCGGGTGCAGAATGCCGCGGCGAGACTCCTTATGGGGTCTTCGCTGCGAGATCATATCCATCCGGTGCTATACCAGCTGCACTGGCTCCCGGTGGAGTACAGGATCAGGTTTAAGGTGCTGGTTTTAACCTTTAAAGCCCTATACGGCCTAGGACCCTCGTACCTACGGGACCGCCTCTCCTGGTATGTCCCACAGAGAAATTTACGGTCTGCAAATAAAAACATCTTGAAGATCCCAGGCCATAGAGAGGTTAGGCTGGCCTCAACTAGAGCCAGAGCCTTCTCGGCCGCGGCTCCAATCTGGTGGAATGCTCTGTCACAAGAGACTAGGGCCCTGCAGGACCTGACATCCTTCCGCAGGACCTGCAAGACAGAGCTGTTCCACCAGGCCTTTGGTCAGGGCGCAGCCTGACCCTCTCCTC